GCGCGACGTGGTTTCAGTCACGCGGTCGCGCCGACGTGCTTCAGCCTCGCCGATGCTGGTACTCCCTGTGGTCATATCTCTCATAAATAACAACTCTCGTATTTGGGTTGATCAAAAAAACCCATGTAAAGCTAACACATAAGCAAGAATCAAATAAGCTTACTATGACCCTCCTAATTCCATCATTTACTGAGGGTAAAAATCAAGATGAAGTCACTGTTTCTTTCCAAAGAAAAACCTGTTCAACATCCCCTTATTTCGTGCACCATTTCCAGTCCTCTCAAATCAAACACTAAGCCAATATATGGTCTCATATCAACACACCAACACAAGGTTCTCATGCCAAGAAAAATGGTAAAAATGAAAGAGAAGTATCAAACTTTAACTCAAAAAGCTGAGCTCTTCTTAAGTATCCCTTTTTCTACTACCTTTAAACTTCCTCACTATAATAAAAATTTCTTATCACTTACTACGATATAGACTCAAGTAACAGCGTTTGAAAGCATAAAGCTCAAGAAAGAGTACTTACCTTGGAGAACTAGAAGTGCCTTAATGCTTACTACCAAAGAAAATGGATGGAGATAGGAAAGAGATGAAGAGAAAAGATGAAGAGATAAAGAGAAGATGAAAGATGAAGAAAACGTTTGAGATGAAGGGTGAAAAAATGAAGAACGCAAGGTCCAAATGGAAAGGCTCGTATACTTCCAACACTCTTTAAATTTAATATCAATTACCAATAAGAACCTACATTTCTACATGTTACCTTTTAATACACATTAAACTAAAATATCTTTAAGTGTCAAGTAAATCCACTTATAAACCCATTCTACCCCAACCGGGTTTGGGTCCGCCTGACTCAACCGACCTATGAACTGACTCGACTCGGTAGATGTCCCCACAGATTCACAACTTGAGTTTAAAATTAGCTTTTCTAGAAGGTTACTTGAGCAAACGAGATTAGTAGAGTAGTCTGATGTTTTTGCAATTCTTCAAAAGAATTGATCAAGTTATCTCTAAAAAAAGGTCCTTGTATGACCTACAAGCAAGACTCCAAGGGCAGGTATGGAAAGGATGGATATCTCGTCATTCAACTGCTTCATTAGAAGTCTGAATACGGAATCCATCATCACCGTGCACTTGGATAAAAATCGAGAAAAAATTTGAATTTAAATTTAAAAAAAGATTAACAAAAAAAAATAAAAAATGGGGAACCCTCCGCGTTAATGAGGATCGCAAGGAGAGCATGGTCGAACGACGATAGAGATCCATTGGTGCTTCTAATTGGACCGATTACAAGCAGCCGTGCAAGCGTATGGCAGGCTGTCGATGGTGGTCGGCGGACCAATTCATTATTTGTTCAAGCGCCAATAAACAAGAATCTCATGATTCGCATTCAACAAGTGTTGTGAGAACTTGAAAGGCATTCCTAAGGCGTAATTGTTGTTGGTGGCATTGAATGAGCACCCCAAAAATTTCCTTTGACTGCTAGAAAAAAAAAAAAAAAACGAAAAAAAAAAAAAAAAAAAAAAAAAAAAAAACAAAAAAAAAAAAAAAAAAAAAAAAAAAAAAAAAAAAAAAAAAAAAAAAATAAAAAAAAAAAATTAAACAAAAAAAAAGAAAAAAAAAAAAAAAAAAAACCAAAAAAAAAAAAAAAAAAAAAATAAAAAAAAAAAAAAAAAAAAAAAAAAAAAGAAAAAAAAAAAAAAAAAAAGAAAAAAAAAACAAAAAAAAAAAAAATGAGAAAGCCACGCCTGCTACAGTGGAGGAAGCACCCCTGCATACAGTGCCGGCCAAATATCTTGACTGCTATAGTAATTTGACTTTCTCACAGTAACTTGACTCCGCTACAGTGCACATCGGACGTGAAAGGCTGGGAGTGACTTAGGCGTGTTTTGTGTGTTTTATGCTTTGTTAAACCTAGATTCCTTATTTAGTATAAATAACTTGTCTTCCATGTAAGGACGAAACTTTTGATAAATTGAAAAACTTCATTTGATCAAGCTTTGCTTGTTCCATTTACTTAGAGTGACAGTGAGAGATTGCTTCCTCTAATTGCATCAAGAATTTAAGGTAAACTTATCAATTAGTTTGTGGCGTTTATCTTGTTCTTTGCTTGATTATTGGTGTTACCGTTTCCTTATAAACGTGGGGTGCCATAGAGCATTTAATCTCGATTATTGTTATTGGTGTTTCCGTTTCGATTATTGGTGTTTCCGTTTCATTATAAACGAGGGGTGCCATAGAGGCGAACTTACATCTCATCCTTTGATTCGATCCGTATCAAAGTCAAAGTGAAGCTACCTTATACGTGAAAAATACAGGTGGTTACCTCTTAGTTGTTTCAATTTATGTAGATGACATGCTGCTGACAGGAAGCAAATTTGAATTAATTCAAAACTTCAAGGCAGAAATGGAAAAAGTCTTTGAAATGACTGATCTTGGAGTCATGACGCACGTCCTTGGTATGGAAATGATGCAGTCTAAAAATGGCATTTTTATATGTTAGCGGAAATATGTTTCTGACATTCTAAATAGATTTAAAATGCAAGATTGTAAACCTATGAGTACTCCAATCTCCACATGTTTGAAGCTAGGCAAGGATGAGAATTCTGAAAGAGTGGATGATTGCATGTATAGGAGTTTGATTGGTAGCCTTTTATATCTGACCGCAAGCAGACCTGACATTCTTTTTACTGTGAGTTTACTTTCTAGGTTCATGCATTCGCCTAGAGAAACACACTTCACGGCTGCTAAAAGAGTGTTAAGGTATATCAAAGGCACTAGCACACTTGGGATTTTTTTCCCGACATATACAAAAGGAAAAATGAAGTTGGTTGGCTACTCTGATAGTGATTGGGGTGGCTGTGTTGATGATTCTAGGAGTACTTCTGGATATTTATTTCATTGGAAACAAGTTTTTTCAGCTGGAGCTCAATGAAACAAGAAACTACAGCTCAATCAACAGCAGAAGCAGAGCGTATTGCTGCTGCATCAGTTGTAAATCAGGCTATTTGGCTAAGGAAAATGATGAAGGACTTGGGGGATGAACAAAAGGAAGCTACCAGGATCATGTGTGATAATATTTCAGCAGTTTCGATCTCAAAAAATCCAGTTTTTCATGGTCGGACAAAGCATATCAAGATTAAATTTCATTTTATCAGAGAAGTTCAACAATCAAATGAAGTGTTACTTGTTCATTGTTCATCGGAAGACCAGTTAGCGGATATTTTCAGAAAATCATTGCCTAAGGAAAGATTTGAAGTGGATCTCAAAAAATCCAGTTTGTATGGTCGACAACAGGCAATCAAGATTAAATTTCATTTATCAGAGAAGTCACAATTCAAAATGAATGTACTTTTCATTGTCATCGAAAGACCATTAGCGGATATTATTCAGAAAAATCATTGCCTAAGGAAAGATTGAAGTTCTGACAGACGTAAGATAGGTTTTAATCACACAAATGCCCAAGAGGAGTTTGAAGCAGTTGGCATTTATTTCCAGCAAGAAAGTTCATACCAAATATTTTATTCTCCTAACTTTTAGCATATTTTCTCACGTTAGTTTTTATCTTCTGATATGGCATGTGACAATAGGTAGATAAGTTTGTTATTATCTATGTATAAATTCAACACATTGAACTAAATAAAATATCAATTTGTCTTCTTCTCCTTCATAACTCTCCCCTTAAACAGTCACTTTTAGCAGATATATTCTACTTTTCCTTTCAAAACACTAAACATCCTCTTTTTATCATATCTCTCATCAGGTTTTCTGTTTCTATCAATTTGTGATTTCCTAGACCTCTTCAACTCTATCACTACAGTTTCTTTGGCGTCAGTGATTTATACAGAACAAGAAACAGAAAATAATAATCTCAAGGAAACTTTATGCAGACCTTTTCAAAAGGTGGGTTTTACAGGACCTTTAATTACATCAATTTATTCGTTTATATTAGCTTCTCTTACTGTGATTGGGTTAGTATAGTTTTCAGTACAAATTTTGACGTCAGTGAGCGTATTTAAGGCATGGTTTGTGCTGGCTTTTATTTCTTTGTTCAAAAAATGTGTGGAGTGGAGTGGAGTGCTATATGGAACATGGGTATGGTGATTTCAATTTTGGCAGGGAAACATGGATATATAGCATTTGGAGTCTCAGCTTATATCAGCAGAGGCAACCGGAATTGCGGATTTCTGTTAATGCTTGTGTTTTTTGTTTGGAAGATTGGTTTAAAATTATTGTGTTTCCAAGCAGGCTGGGTTGAGAGAAGTTTCGTTATGATCACAACTGGGGAAGTTTGCTTGCTTTGCTTGGGGAATGTAGTGAAGGGGGTAGCTTTTACAGTTTACTTTTATGATTGTAAAAAGAGGTTTCTTGAGAAGAAACCTGATGTTGAGAATGGAAAATTTTAGATTGTAAACTTTATAATTTCTTTTAATTACTGTTCTTTTGGTGCTTGATCTTTTTTGGCTAATTATTATATAACCAGGCATGTCTATGCTTTTCCTATTTATGTTCCAAATTTAAGAAAAATTTGGTAAATTTTATAGTCAGGCTTTGTAGTTCCAAGAAAAAAGAAAGACAAATAACATAATGGGTCTATTTTCAATATTGATTAAAAATTGCGAATGTGCCCGCACTCTCATGTACAACAAATGTCCGAATCTACTCGAGTAAGCCTTAATCCCAACAAGGGGATTATCTATGTGAATCTGTCCAAGAACAAGAGCAAAAGCAAAGGAAAAGTTTTGTTAATTTGACATGCTAAATGCTTTAATGATGCCTTTCACAGTCAAGGCTGTCTTCGATAATAATTTTTTAACCAGTGTTTAGCGTTTATACCGGTGGAATTGGTTTTTGTGTGGTCCTAAAGAGAACGTTCTGCTATGCATCAAAACGATGACTTCATTAACAATAAGCAAATCAATCAAGAGTCAACGGTGGGGCTCAAAGGATGGATAAAATCAAAGAAATTTCTTCTATTATCATTGACCTTGCTGTGTGGAGTAAAAACACAAGTCAACTTCCACAAAGACTAAAACCATTGAACAAAATATATCCTCATTCTTAAATCAACCAAAGATTTCAAGATTCCAAAGGGGAAGATGGAAAACTCCCAAATTGTAAGGGAAGGAAAACTAGGGTTCTTTGGCATAATCAAAGAATCTCTAAGAATCCCTTTCAAAAATCCCAATTTCATCATCTTTGCTTTCCTTACCTCTCTCCCTCTATTTTGCTTTTCAAGTGTGTATGAAATTATCTTCCAGAAAACCATCATTGAAACAAGATATATCATACAAGAAACTATTACTCCTGATAATCCTTATGGCAACTTCGAATACAGCTATGAAGCACTTCTAAATTTCGAAAAATGGATCGGAAAGATTTCTCGCAAGTTTCTTCTATTAGTTCTGTTCTATTTAGGGATCTTACATTTCTTGGATCTGCTTAACACAGTTGCTGTAGTGGAAATAACATCATTGATCTACAAAGAGGAGAAGGCTATGAATCTTAAAGCCATGTTTAGCAGATTCATCAATGAAACAAGACTTAAGGGTCCTCTAATCACATCTATTTATGTTCTTCTATTAGCTTCTCTTATTTCCTTTGGATTAGTCTCCTTACTACCATACATATTGATTGGATACACTGCTTTTTTCTTTACAGTACCATTTTTGGTTCTTTATATATCTTTACTGATCAAATATATAGATTGGAGTGCTATTTGGGATATGGGTATTGTGATTTCAGTTTTAGAAGAGAAACAAGGCGATGTGGCAATAATTGCTTCATCATATCTAAGCAGAGGAAGCAGGCTTTATGGGTTTTTTCTAATGCTTGTGTTCTTTGGTTGGAGGGTTGCCCTGAGATTATCATTACTATATGCAGGATTTAAGACAGGAGGAGGTGAAGTTATGAGAACAGTACTGCAGAGTGGCTTTATTTGCTTCGGCGTTGTGTTAAAGTGGGTAATCTTTGTGGTTTACTTTTATGATTGTAAGAAGCAAAGTTTGGAAGGAAAGATCGATGCAGAGGAAGGGATTAGAAGAGTTGAGCAGTGATCAATTTAAAGATGTAACTATTAAGCATAAAAGTAAATAAGTTCAATTTAGTCCCCTGAAATAGATTGCTTCCTGTCAATTTTATTTTGATATCTATATTAGTACATTCAGTTTGAATTTTATTTTTCTGCATTCTTTCATAAAAGCATACTTAATTTCTATTTGAGAGGTTGAAAAAAAGAAATAGCTTCAACTGCAAAATAATGCTCAGAATAAGAAAAGGTTATAGTACAACACGAGAGGATGAGCATAAGGCTTTTAAAAATGGAAATGGAAATGAATGTCTAAACACAAAGAATTAAGTTCAAACTTTGTTTTTTCAAGTATGTTGATTAAATGAAGAATTATGCTTAAAAATATACATTATTTCAATTTAAATCAAAATTATTCACATATGAAAATTATAAAAAAAATTTAAATTATATTCCAAAAATTGTATTTCATTCACAATTTTGAATCCAATATTATATTATGTCAAATTCTATGAATAAAATTAATTAATTAAGTGCGGTTAGGTTGGTCTTCTGTCCTTTCCTGATGGTTTAATTCATTCTCTTTGTTTATAAATGAAAGTACAAACATTTATTTCTTTTAAAAATATATAAATTTTTAAATTGGGGTTATTGAAATTTTTAATTTTTAAAATAAAATTGATTAATTTTTTTTGGGAAAGATTCCAAAAATTATAGCTTTTTTTTTTTTGTCTCTTGTATATATTTATCTTTTGAGTAATTTTTTATTTTTGTCTAAATGATATTTAAATTGTGAGAGAAAATATAAAACTTTTTTTTATTTTATTAAATCTAAATAAGAAATATTAAAACCGACTAATGATATGACAAATTCAAAACAATCACATATTTCTAAATTAGTGAAAATAAATCATATGCATTTGAGGTTTGAATGTTGAAGTCTCCATTATTGAGATAATTTTACTTGCTATCACCTTTGTCCAAAAAAGAAAATCACATTTCAATTCTTTTTTAAAATTTTCCTTAATAAATTCTTTTCAGTAACTACATAATTCAATCAGAAAATTCAAAAAAAAAAAAGAAAAAGAAAAATTTTATTTGGTAATTGAAAGTCAACAAATTGACCAATATGTGGAGCACAAAATATAATTTTCTCGGCCTTTCCCGCTCTTTCCCTATCTTCCCTCCGTATTCAACGTCTCTTCTCCCATTTCCCGCGAAAATCTCTTGAAAAATCATAACCACCTCTCCACCTTCTCTCTTTCCCAGCAACTTTCAGTTCTTGCTTATTCAATTAGTTAATGTCTTTCCTTTAAAATTTTTTTTTTTCTCTCTGGCTTTCTTTCCTCTTGCCGCGGAATCCGATTTACCACAGGACTCCGCCATGGAAGATGAATAGATTAATCCAGAACCCAAAGTCGCAGTTCCGCCATCTTCGGCGTCTCCACCAACAACTCACTTCCCAATCCCTCTCTGTCACAAACTCCGTTTCTGAAGTTCACCCTCTCCTTATCCTATGGCGGTACCAGATCCTCGATCCGGACAGCGACATTGTCACCTATTGGAATTACGTCTTCCTTATAACCTCTATTATTGCTCTCTTCATCGATCCTCTTTTCTTCTTCCTCCCTTATGCGAATTTCGACGGCCTCTGTTTAAGCAACGACAATCATCTCGCTATCTTAATCACCTATTTTAGATCAATATCTGATTTATTCTTCGTGCTGCATATAATCATGAAGTTTCGTACGGCTTTTGTTGCCCCGAATTCTCGCGTTTTTGGGCGGGGCGAACTCGTCATGGACGCTAAGGAGATCGCCATGCGTTATCTTAAGTCCGATTTTGTTATTGATTTAGCAGCCGCGCTTCCGCTTCCCCAGGTAAGCTGCAATTGCGAATATTATGATTTTGTTGCTGTAATTGGAATATGAAAGAGATATAAAAGCTATTCTTAGCCTTCACTTTAATTCTTTTTCACCTTATTTTAATTTTTGTCATAGTCTATTTGCTCAATTTCTTAGAATTCAGGAGTCCATGCTTATGTTCATTGATTAAATAACAGATTATGACAATAGGTTATTTTATTTTATTTTTATTTTTATTTTCGAATTGCAGCATTGCTAATTAATCATGTTTCAGGATTTTTAGGTGATTGTAAATTTTTTTTCTTTGCAGACTGTTATTTGGGTAGTAATTCCAGCTACAAGAGATAGTAGAGCTGATCATGCCAACAATACACTCTCTCTTATGGTTCTTATTCAATATATTCCCAGAATGTTTGTTATCTTCCCCTTGCATCAACGCATTGTAAAAACTACTGGTTTTGTTGCTAAGACTGCCTGGGCAGGAGCTGCATATAATCTCCTCCTTTACATGCTTGCTAGTCATGTAAGCATCAGGTCACCTCTTTTTTAAGTGTCCTCTCATTGTTTAGTTATTAAAATTTTAAATGATTATCGATGTTTACTATTGTTGCAGACACTGGGAGCTTCATGGTACCTGTTGTCTTTGAGTAGGGAATTTTACTGCTGGAAATCGGAGTGTTCAAAGGAGAATAAAGGGGGACTTATAGGTTGCATTGAGAGTTTTCTAGATTGTAACAGTTTGGGACAATTCGAACGTCAATATTGGCGGAATGTGACCCGTGTCCCTGCTAATTGTGATCCACAAGATACAAATATCAGATTTGAGTTTGGAATATTTGCTGAAGCTTTTACAAATAATGTTGCTGCCTCAACTTTCATTGAGAAGTACTTGTACTGTCTCTGGTGGGGCTTAAGAAATTTAAGGTATGATTTTCACTATAGTTCCAACTTAAAGCTAACCCATCTTTTTGTAGAAAAGAAAAAAAAAAAAAAAAAAAAAACGCATTGTTTAAAAACTATGGTTTTGTTGCTAAGACATGCCTGGGAGAGGAGCTGTTTATAATCTCCTCTTCTTTACCGCATGCTTGGCTAGTCCATGTAAGCATCAGGTCACCCTTTTAAGTGTCCTCTCATTGTTTAGTTATTAAAATTTTAAATGATTATCATGTTTACTATTGATTGCAGACACTGGGAGCTTCTGGTATCCTTTTGTCTTTTTGCAGTAGGAATCTTTACGGCTGAAATCCGGAGTGTTCAAAGGGGGAATAATAGGGGACTTATAGGTTGCATTGAGAGTTTTTTCTCGATTGTAACAGTTTTTGGACAATCGAAAGTCCAACTTATCTGGCGGAATTAGTTGGACCCGGTGTCCACTGCTACATTGTGATCCACCATCAAGACTACAAAATTTAATCAGATTTGACGTTTTGGGAATATTTGCTGGATGAACGCTATTTACAAAATAATTGTTGCATGCCTCAACTTTCTGGAAGCTACTGTTGTACGGTCTTCTGGTGCGGGTCTTAAAGAAAATTTAAGTATGATTTCACATATAGTTCCACTGAAGCTAACCCATCTTTTTGTGTTAGAAAAGAAAAAAAAAAAAAAAGAAAAAGGTCCCATACAAAGCATTATTAGTCTTTTGATGGGCCTTGTGGCAAAATTGTGCTAATTATTTGCTCAGAAATTCACTATTAGAAGTATTCAATAAAAAAAAAAAAAAAAAAAAAAAGAAAAGTCCCATAAAAGCATTATATCTTTGGATTGGCCTTGTGGCAAAATTGTGCTAAATTATTGCTCAGAAATCCTATTAGAAGTACTTCTATTTTTCTTTTGTTCAATTAGTTTTTCTTTCATATCATTTGTAAGCATATCCCATTAGTTGGATCTCTCTGAAATCCTGTAAATTCTTTGATGAGGAATTGGCTTCAACAAGTGTCCTTATGTTTTTCATTACTCTAGCTTGTCCTCCATGTGGAATTGTGAATTGCGTGCTCCATTTATCTAAATCTTGATGAACTTATAATTATAATGTTTCTATTCATCTATTTGTTTGGCGTTAATTAATTGTATGTCCTAAATACTTTAGAATCAGCAAGCACATTTTCTAGCCATGCTCCATGTGAAGTACATTGCAATGTCCATGTATGATGCCGTGTCAGGCCTTAAAATTGGGGACTGTAATGAGTCAAGGACTAATATGCTCAATCAGGCTTTGTAAATTATCTAGTGTTTCTGTCTATGAATTAGAATTGATGATGATCATCTTTCACAAAGAGATTGCATGAATGGAAATGGAAATTAAGAGTTCTGCAACTTTCTGTGATATTAGTGGAGCTGATGATCAATCGCATGAATTTAGTTTTCCGTTAGCAAACTTTATATGTCCTGCAAAATCAAGATCTTCTTTTAACTTTTCTTTTCTGAAAGAATGTTAGTCCAAAAAAACCACAAGGCTTAAAAATGCAAAAGGGACACAATTAATTTAAAGAATACAGATTATGGTACAAAAGGTTGCTAAGAGTAATTTGCATAAATAACCCACTGCATATTATCCTTATCAAATTGAGTGCCATGTAGTGATTCTACAAATTCAGTTGTTTTTCATCCCTATGGCTGTGTGATAATTGCATGGCATCTGGTGAATTTTTTCTTTTATTGTTGATTTCATTGTTCATGCTGACTTTTGTCCTGTTCCCAGCTCATATGCACAGACTTTGGAGACCACCACATTTCTTGGTGAGAATCTCTTCTGCATTATTACATGCATTCTCGGTTTAGTTCTCTCCGCACAGTTGATTGGCAACATGCAGGTATTTCATGCTACCATCTGAATTCCATTCTTATTGTCACATGATGTTAAAGGGCTCTTTGTATTCATTTAATGCATTTTTCAGTACAGCTACAATAACCAAGTAAAAACCTTTTGTTTTAGCATGCAAATTTATTTCATCTGTGAGATCATTGGTATGAATGGAAATGGTTTGCAAACACTGGTTCTGAGTAATTTTTTTCTTGTTCTCATTCTTGCAGACTAATTTGCAATCTATGACGGTAAGAGTGGAAGAATGGAGGATTAAGCGAAGAGATACAGAAGAGTGGATGAGGCATCGCCAATTACCTCCAGATTTGCAGGATCGAGTTCGACGTTTTGTTCAGTACAAATGGCTTGCTACAAGAGGAGTTCATGAAGAATCCATTGTGAAGTCCCTGCCATTGGACCTTCGACGAGAAATTCAGCGACATTTATGTCTGGCCTTAGTTCGCCGCGTATGTTATTTATCTTTCTGTTTTAATTTTTAAAATTATTCTTCTATCTCATATTTTCAATCTTTCATTTCACAGGTCCCATTCTTTTCACAAATGGATGACCAGCTACTTGATGCCATATGCGAACGCCTCGTCTCTTCTTTGAGTACTCAGGGAAACTATATAGTTCGAGAGGGTGATCCAGTAAATGAGATGCTATTTATAATCAGAGGACAATTAGAAAGCTCAACAACTAATGGAGGGAGGACCGGATTCTTCAACTCCATCACCCTTAGACCCGGTGATTTCTGCGGCGAGGAATTACTTACATGGGCTCTTATGCCCAATTCTACTGCAAGCTTGCCTTCTTCAACTCGGACTGTAAAAGCACTTTCTGAAGTTGAAGCTTTCTCACTTCAAGCTGACGACCTTACATTTTTCGCGAAACAATTTAAGAGACTTCAAAGCAAGAAGCTACAACATGCCTTTAGGTACTATTCTCACCAATGGAGAACATGGGCTGCTTGCTTGATACAAGCTGTTTGGAGAAGATATCAGAAAAGAAAGCTGGCAAAGGAGTTGGCATCGCGAGAGAGTCTTTCTTACATTATGCTACCTGAGGAAGAGTATGAATATTATGAGGATGAGAACGGTGAGAAAATTGAAAATCCACAGAATGCCCAGCAGCTTGGAGCTACAATCTTGGCTTCAAAATTTGCTGCAAATACAAGGAAAGGAACCCATCAAAAAGTTCGTGAATCTGGTTCTTCTAGTTATAAGATGCCCCAGTTGTTTAAACCACAAGATTTCTCTATAGACCGAGAAGATGTTTAGTTAGTACATAAACTAACCAGAAACTAAATAAATAAATAAAATGAGCCAAAGAGAAATTAGTTAGGAACTTGTATAATATTTATGTAAAATTTGTACTACTAGACTAGCATCAATAATCATATTCACAACTCTATACACTCAATCACTTATCTAGAAAAGCTCAATTATTTAAATCTTGACCGCTTTTTCTTTCTTTTCTTTTATTTTTTTTTTATTTTGAAAATATCAGAGAAAGAAAGATTTGATTTTGCAGTCCAGAAAATCTGGATCATTTCAGTTTCTCAAACTTCATTGTCCAAATGGCAAGATGAGAGTGAAGAGCGAAAAAATATCTCTACACTGCATTTATATAATTTGTACAAATGGCAACTCTTCAACAACATTCAGTGCATCACTATCATGGCCACTCGAAAACTTTCCTCTTCTTTCCCTTTTTCTGCTTCTTTTGGTAACTGGGAAAGAGTCATCAGTAGGTTTACTACTTCTGCTTCAATTGAGAGACCATTTAATCCTTATGTTAAAATTGAACACAATCAGCTTCTAATCGATGGAAAATTCGTCGATGCAGCATCAGGCTTGTTTCTTAATCTTTGATATTTTCATTGTAAAGTCTTACAATATTTCAATACCTTTTGTTTGATAACTATACCGTCATTTGGTTACGTAGGCAAGACGTTCACATGCTTGGATCCAAGAACAGGGAATGTAATTAGGCATGTTGCTGAAGGTGATGCTGAAGGCATAAAGCGGGCAGACGTTCACATGCTTGGATCCAAGAACAGGGAATGTAATTAGGCATGTTGCTGAAGGTGATGCTGAAGGCATAAAGCGGGCAGACGTTCACATGCTTGGATCCAAGAACAGGGAATGTAATTAGGCATGTTGCTGAAGGTGATGCTGAAGGCATAAAGCGGGCAGACGTTCACATGCTTGGATCCAAGAACAGGGAATGTAATTAGGCATGTTGCTGAAGGTGATGCTGAAGGCATAAAGCGGGCAGACGTTCACATGCTTGGATCCAAGAACAGGGAATGTAATTAGGCATGTTGCTGAAGGTGATGCTGAAGGCATAAAGCGGGCAGACGTTCACATGCTTGGATCCAAGAACAGGGAATGTAATTAGGCATGTTGCTGAAGGTGATGCTGAAGGCATAAAGCGGGCAGACGTTCACATGCTTGGATCCAAGAACAGGGAATGTAATTAGGCATGTTGCTGAAGGTGATGCTGAAGGCATAAAGCGGGCAGACGTTCACATGCTTGGATCCAAGAACAGGGAATGTAATTAGGCATGTTGCTGAAGGTGATGCTGAAGGCATAAAGCGGGCAGACGTTCACATGCTTGGATCCAAGAACAGGGAATGTAATTAGGCATGTTGCTGAAGGTGATGCTGAAGGCATAAAGCGGGCAGACGTTCACATGCTTGGATCCAAGAACAGGGAATGTAATTAGGCATGTTGCTGAAGGTGATGCATGTTGCTGAAGGTGATGCTGAAGGCATAAAGCGGGCAGACGTTCACATGCTTGGATCCAAGAACAGGGAATGTAATTAGGCATGTTGCTGAAGGTGATGCTGAAGGCATAAAGCGGGCAGACGTTCACATGCTTGGATCCAAGAACAGGGAATGTAATTAGGCATGTTGCTGAAGGTGATGCTGAAGGCATAAAGCGGGCAGACGTTCACATGCTTGGATCCAAGAACAGGGAATGTAATTAGGCATGTTGCTGAAGGTGATGCCGAAGGCATAAAGCGGGCAGTCTCTGCTGCCCGCAAGGCGTTTGATGAAGGGCCATGGCCAAAAATTGCCCCTTATGTAAGAAAGTACAGAACAATTTTTTCTGCATTTCGTTTTTGCTGTGTTAAGCGGAATTGTTGATACCAAATGTTAATGCTTTCTGTTATATGCAGGAAAGATCATGCATACTATACAGATCTGCAGATTTAATTGAAAAGAACATAGATAAAGTTTCAGCACTTAAACTTGGGACGGCGGAAAACCTTATGATCAGGTTGCTAATGTTGGAAGTACCGAAACATATGATTCGATATTATGCTGGTAGGTGAAAGAAAAATGATTTTCTTATATGCTCATTTTATGTCTTTTTGCATTTATGAATGCATTAAGTTTAATATTTGGTAAGCTGTAATGAAACTTAATATAATATAATCAAAGTTATTCCTAGTGCAATGTTTAGATTAGAAATGTTTTAGATTACATTACATTGTGATCCATTATGCCTCACAAAATATAGCCTGAAGGTATTAGTGTTCTGGGAATCTATTTGACATTGAGATTGAAATTGCTTTTTCAAGAAAACACCATTTAAGAGTTGGAAATAGCAGTTTAAGAGTACTGTTTAGCTGCTTTGACTCTTTATGAGTTAGAACAATTGACCGTGAAAACAAACTTTAATGTTTTCCAATTGTTGCTAGATAATAATGCCAAATGCACCCGAAATTTTCTCTTCATGTACTCCAGGGTGGGCAGACAAGATTCATGGTCTCATGATGGATCATACCATGTGCAAACCTTGCACGAACCTATTGGTGTTGCAGGACAAATTATTCCGTGGAATTTTCCTTTTCTCATGTATGCTTGGAAGATTTGCCCTGCATTAGCATGTGCTAATGGAGTTTTTCTAAAGACTGCAGAGCAAACACCACTTTCTGCTCTTTATGTGACAAAATTATTGCATGAAGTATGTTCAAACCTGATATTTATGATAATACCGAGAAAGAAAGTAATTTGATGAATATATATCGATCTTCAGTCTCAATGTATTCTGCACTACAGGCTGGCTTCCTCCTGGTGTTCTAAATGTGGTTTCTGGCTTTGGTCCTACTGCTGGTGCATCTCTTTGTAGTCATATGGGTGTTGACAAGGTAAGTTTACAAGCAGCAATCTACTTATCTTTGCACACAAAGGTCTCACTGTTTATAAATATTCCTTGTTATAAATGAGGTCCACAAAATTTTATGGAATGCATTTGAAATTCATGTTTTTATGTTTGGTATGAAAGAAAAATATTCATTTACTCTTATAAATTCATTTTTGAGGATTTCAACATTACTAAACCATTTTCAAATTTTATCATTTGCAAGTGAATCCTATACTTGAAATTCGTAATTTGTTCACGCCAACCAAGGGCTAAATATTTGTAACATAATTATATTCAACCGTCAGGTACAGTGTCTGCAATCATTCAATATTCAAATTGGGCATGTCTGAGTCGCAAGTGAAATCACTGTATGCAAAAAATGCTGAAAACTACCCGTGTTTAGTGTAAATGAATTTGAAGTATAGCATTATTTGCAAATTATATAATCTTGTTTAGTTAATGTTGAATTCCATAAAATTTATAACAAACAGGTAGTTTTTCATCCCAACTATTCCTATTAAGATGGGATTACAAATTACCATAACGGGTTTTACTTTCTTCACAGATTGCTTTCACAGGATCAACTGAGACTGGTAAGAAAATACTTGAAATGGCGGCAATGAGCAACCTCAAGTCAGTGACTTTAGAGCTTGGAGGAAAATCTCCTTTTATTATATGTGAGGATGCTGATATCGATCAGGCTGTGGAGCTTGCAGATTTTGCATTGTTCTTTAACCAGGTTTTGTGCATTGAAAATTCCAGCATTGGAGAAGTTAGATTTGTCATTTATGAATAATATTCTTTTTTAACTTTGGTGTCAGTTAATGGTCATACAATGACTTCCTTTGCAGGGTCAATGATGTTGTGCTGGGTCTCGTACATTTGTACATGAATGCGTTTCTGACGAATTTGTAGAGAAATCAAAGATCTGTGCTTCAAAACGTGTAGTTGGAGATCCTTTTGAAAAGGGAGTCCAAGAAGGTCCTCAGGTAACCAGTATCAGAAACAAACAAAAACTAATTGAGAGACAGAATGGAAATGAAAAATCTGTTAAGAAAGAAAAAGAATTGATCATTTTCGAGAATATATGTCAAACTTTTAATTCTTAGAATGAACAATTTTAGGGTTGATATTTTCTGTTTTGTATTATTTTCCTCTAGAAAAAGGCTTTCTGCTTCTGCATTTGAGAATCATGTCCTAGCATATGCCTTTACATTGACAATGCCAAATACTAGTCACATCCAATATAATGGTTCTTGTTTTTGTTTCTTTTTTTTTTTTTCTATTTATTTTAGATTGATGAGACACAGTTCAAGAAGATACTTACATACATAATATCTGGTGTTGAAAGTGGTGCTACACTAGAAATTGGAGGTGATAGATGCGGCTCTAAGGGCTATTATGTTCAACCAACTATTTTTTCAAATGTTAAGGTGCTGTTTTTACTGCTAATGTTTCAGCAATTAACAGCTTCAAACACAATGAAGGAAAAACTGCAATTAATAAAATTCTGATACTTATCTTAACCAGGACAACATGTTGATAGCACAAGATGAGATCTTTGGCCCAGTACAGACTATCTTAAAATACAAGTAAGCTATTAAACATACATTAATTATTGCAGGTGTTAATGTATTATGCTTTTTAACCTGTCTGATTTATGCTTTAATTTCATTTGATAGGGACCTAGATGAAGTGGCTCAGAGAGCAAATGCAAGTCGATTTGGACTAGCAGCTGGAGTTTTTACTCCGAACATGGACACTGCCAACACTTCAACTCGTGCATTACGTGTTGGATCCGTATGGATAAACTGTTATGATATATTTGATGCTGCAATTCCTTTTGGTGGGTATAAGATGAGCAGTCAAGGCAGAGAAAAGGGTATTTATGGCCTTAGCAACTACTTGCAGATTAAAGCTGTTGTCACTCCTTTGTATAAACTGGCATGGTTATAATAACATGAATTCTAGTTATAGAAATAATAATAATTTTGGATCATATGTTTTAGACTTTTTTAGCTCAATGAATGTTTGTAAAAAAGCATTCTTATAATTATCTAACAGTTCAACAGATTTCCCATTAACAAAGTGAAAGCCGGTCAGGTGAAGTTTCAGGAGTAGAGGCTTTTGCCCTTGTTGATACATCAAGGGCTTGTTGTAATTTTACAACAACTTGCTCCATTGTTGGTCTTTGTTGCTTAAGTGCTGTGCATGACAATGCTAGCTGAAATACTAGAACAAAAGCTTCTGCTGAATATTCTCCATTCAGCTTAGGATCTGCAAATTCTATTATGCTGCCTCCTCTGGTTATGGATTTTGCCTGGGAAGCAAAAATAGAATTAACAAAGAAGTTTTCAAAAATTACTAAAATGGACAAACAAACAAAAAAAAAAAAAAAAAAAAAAACCTGGGGAACAAAATTAGAATTTAAACACAACGAAGTTTTCAAAAAATTACGTGAAAAATGATCAAAACAAATCAATAGAAAAAAAAAAAAACAAAAAAAGACTAGCTAAGGTACTTACCATTTCTTATCCAATGCATTGATTCTTCATCGGAGTTCATATTTAAGTAACCCTCGTTTCGCTGATTAGAATCTGCAGATAGTACTATTCCAAAGCTATTAGACATCGTCGCTGTATTGAACTTTAGCATGGCTGTATTGATTGTCGATCTGAGGATCTAACATCAGGGTCGGACATTAACCCACAAAGCTGTTGCCTCTACTCTTATCTTCTGAGCTGACATGTGGGTCCTTCACCACTGGTTGATACCTTAGACGATCCAAAATTCGTGACAGCCTTCCGCTTCGAATATTTGTCGTCGAGGAGGATGTTTGCTAGGCTGCAAAAAGGAAAATGAAACATGTAGCTCATACCGCCAAACCCAAGAAAGTAGAATTTGGGATTATGGCATAAAAAAAAAAAAAAAAAAAAAAAGAACTATGGTACTTACCATTTTATCCAATGGCATTGGATTCTTCAGATTCATATTAATAACCCTCTTTCCTGATAGAATCTGCAGAAGTACTATTCCAAAGCTATAAACATCGCCTGATGAATTTACATGGTGATTATTTCGGTACTCAGGGTCGACATAACCAAATGTTCCTCTTACTTCTGAGCTGACATGGGTTTCACCCTGGTTGATAACCTTAGACAATCCAAAATCTGACAGCTTCGCTTCGAAATTTGGTCCTAGGAGGATGTTTGTAGGCTGCAAAAGGAAAATGAAAAATGTTATAGCAAACAAGAAGTAGAATTTGGATATGCATAAGTTTAGTCCGAGACAGACCTTGACATCGCGGTGAACAATGCAGCCTTCTGCATATGTATGCAGAAACCAAAGACCCTGAGCACTATCAATTGCAATCTCAAGCCGCTGGATCCAAGATAGGACCTTGTCTTTCCCTATAGTGAATAAATTTCATATTTGTAAGCGTTTGAAGTGCATAACAGAAAAATGAAACTTGAGATGGCGAAGGGAATACCGTAAATCCACTCTGAGAGATTTCCATAAGGGCAAAGCTCATAGATTAGAAAACACTCGTCATCTCTTACACAATATCCCAGCAAAGCTACAAGATTCCGGTGCCTTACGTGCGATAAGCTCGTTAATTCCCTAACAACAGTTTCTGCATTCGCTTCGTTGATTATGTGCTTAATTGCAACATGCTGATTATTTGACAATATCCCTTTGTATACCTTTCCTGGCACATTAACAAGGCTCATAAAGTGAGAACCTTTCACTAATATTTACTTATCAGTTGCTTCATTATATTTTTCGCACATTTCTGCATATGCTTCATTTGGTTAGAAAATTTAAACTTACCTGCAGTTCCTTCACCAATGAGATTCTTTTCACTTAGATTCTCAGTAGCGGAACAAATCTCCTTAAGTGGAAATTTCGAACAACGAGATTCCTTTAGTCGCATGTTCCTAAATGCTGCCACTGAATTTACAGAATCAGCCTATCTTTATACCAAATTAAGCAGAAATAATAATTTTTCACGTGAGTATAAAGTAATTTTTCTGCATACCATTCTTTTTAGGTGGATTTTTTGATTTTTGACAACATCTAGACATATTTTTTGTGGCAACAGTTATTATTATCACTGCAATTCCTATAAGGCAACCAATTAGGATCCAGATACCTGTTTCCAAGTACAATTCTCTATTGTCAGAAACAACTTTATTTATGCATTAGTAAATATAGTGTCATTGATATCATAAAAGATTTGCATGTTTAATGTATAGACTGACAGAGAAATACCTGTACTAATTTTAGGCTTCATTTTCCCTTCTGGTTCTGCTGTATCTGATAAAGATTTGCAATTTATGTATACATTTTGCAGGAAATCTAATGTGAAATTGAAACTTATGATTCTGTGGTGCAACTTTGTTTCATCAAGCTACTTAGTACTTACCATTGCTGATGAATTGCTTCTTATCATTCTCGAGGCATTTGAAAACTCTGTGAATATAAATTTCATCATCAATCCTAGTACTTGTTAAAGAAATCAGAATTGCAAACCTACAAATATCATTTCCACTAGGATGCTTTTCTTTTATGTACTGCCAACTATTTATGCAGGAACTGCATAATTCCCCTGATTCTTTATCAGAACCATCAAATTTGCAATTTTCAGACAAACTTTTCAGTTCCTTCCCCAGCCTATGACTAACATTGGCAACAGAGAAATCAGAACACCCTCCCAACCCACTTGTCAGCTTGTCAATCCCACAACTAAAGACATCTGCTTCAGATTTTTCCATTTCAGCCAGGCAACTGCTTTGCTCAGTGGAATTCAGGTATATAAGTCCCGTTCGATTAGCCCTCCGCCCCACTGCATGAAGGTAGGAATGAAAAGCTGACCCACAACAATTTTTCGATAGGAATCCGCCCCAATCTCCCTCTGTGCAACTTGAGTTATTATAATCAGGCAAAGAAGATGGCAAATCAAGGCTGCAGCCAGCTACAGGAGGCTGAGAAACTGTGAAACTGATTGAGATCATCAACAAGAGTATGCAGCTATGAGTTCTATACCAAATGAGATGCTCAATCATTGCATCAAGTACTTGTATAGACGAACTGAGACTAATGAAGCAAAGAAAAACTTTTTAACCACAATGAGAAGATTATAATTATCAGTATCATTTTGGATAAACACAATTATAAACAATAATTACAAAGGGTTTTGGATGCACCGTCCATTCAAGAAAAGAAGCAATCGACCAAATTCTTGTCTTTCTCTCCATTGCCGGCCAATGCAGAAACAACAAAGGAATACAAGATGGCTAGTCTTCTTTTGAAGTTGGACAATTATCTTTTAACTTCTTGTGTGTTTGTGAAAGTACGTCAGTAAAGGGAAATGAACTTTCAAGAGAAAAAAAACAAACAATCTCAAGAGAAGCAGTGACAGTTAATGACAGTTAGTACAAGTCAAGAGGAGTTTGCTACCAAAGCCATAAGTTTTGCAAATTGCAAACAAACCTTAAAACATTTGACTCTGTCAAGAAGAAAAGAGGGCTTACTTTACAATTTTCAATGAAAAAAAGAGCATGTGAAATCAAGTATATTATATGAATATGATTTGGAGATGCTGATCTCCATCTTAGCCTCTTGCTTAAAGTTTAAATCTATGTGAAACTTTGTCTATTTACAACATTTCTTTTCCAACTTGGTTCTTGCCGTTGTCATTACTCGCATAGGCCTCTTCATGCTTACAAGGCTAAGCAACGTAATTGGTTTTTTACCATGTATTTACAAAAATTAATAATAATAATATATCGTCAGGTTTTATATGCACTTATCAGGCTATATCTTGGTGTGCATCTACATTTACATTTCTAATTTCTTTTAAGAGAGTGGAAAATATTATGATGGACTTATATTATATTTATCAATAAAAGTTTTCCACAAAATAATAATAATATACTATTGTCATTATTAACTGATTCTTAGATTGGGCCAGTAACACCAGAAGCCTGGTTTTTTAGCGGCCCATTTCGGTCTGAGGCTGGGCGGGCTATTTTGACCCATGATCACTCACAATCGCAAATTCGCACTACAAAAGAAATTGTCCGAGTCACTTTCCCGGCGGAAGAAGAAGTCAGTCTGTCAAGCAAGCAAGCAAGCAAGGAAGCCTTTGCTCTCTCTACATCTACAGGTATATATTATTAGGCGATTCTTTGTTAAAATTTGATGTATTTTGTACTATGACAAGCTTAGTTGATCACCTGATTTAGTGACTTTTGTTAAGAAAAGGTTTTTGAAAGGATTCATCGAGGTTAAATATGGAGAAGGAACCCAAGTCAGCCACTGAGGATCCAAAAATCGATTTGTTCGACGATGATGATGAGTTTGAAGAATTTGAGATCAATGAAGGTAATTTTTTGGGATTTTGTATTTGTTAATTAATTCTGTAATATGATTAATCGATTCAATATGTTCCTCTTATTGTAAACTGGTTACCTTCGTGACTGATTGTTTGGCTTTACATCAATTTGATAAGCTATTGTGAATCGCATAATTTTGTTGAATTATCTGGTTTATGGGTAAATTAATTATTTTTAGTTTTTTCCCCTTTCTGACTTCGTAGTTTTATCTATTTAAATGGCTAACTATATTTGGGATTTGATCTTATTGTCTGTAATGGACTAATTCTTAAGTATAGAATTAACTTTTATGAAATTGCCACTACTCATATTGTGCTATGAAGTAGTCACTTTTGGGTGTAATGTCAAATTTTGCATAGTTGAAATGAGAGTGCGACAATGCAAAATGGTATGGAATAAGAGAAGGGTGGATTCACAAGAAGATGGAATATTAAATCCTATTTTAACCTATACATATTCTGAGCGGAAACAGGGAACAGAGGTAAAGAATTATTTGTTGTTGAAGTGGAAAAAAGGAAATGATAACTGCCTTAGTGCCAGACAAATGTTTGTCCCTAATATTATAAAATGGAAAATGGTGATCTGTGTAGTTGTTCTCAATTAGTTTACCTTTAGGAGTGAGACTTGTTATGTATCTATAGTTAGTTTTCTCATAACTCTAAGAAGTAAGATAATGACTGTTAGATTATGGCATGCGCCTGGAAGGCCTTATTTCAATTTGTTATTGTCTTGCTTCCTTGGGCATTCTAGAAGCTTTATGTGATTAACTTCCTTTAGGAAGTTGCAACTGATGGTAAGAAACGCCTTTGAGAAGGGAGGATTAGTGTTTCATGGTACCAATCCAAAATTTTATAATGACATTATCATCATTTGTTGGATTCTTTAAGATTTATTTATAGTTTCGAGGAAAAAAAATGAGAAAGAAATAGAAGCAAAATAATATGGAGATCTATATTATGATAGCCTAGTAATAGGCACGGATGTTATGCGTCACAATGAAGCAGCAGTTTGCGTTTTCTAAATGAGAAAAAAATAAATAAATTGCTGTTTGGGTTTATCTTTTACTTTTAACCATAATTCCATAAGCTTCAAGGTTCGATAGAAAAGGTGTATTTTATAACGAGTAGGACGAATCCAAATTTGACAATAAATCCAAATTCCTATAAAATTCTGAGAATTGCTCGTCTATAGATGAAGTACCTGTTGAATGGCAGGAACTTGGGCCATTCTTTAACCATGAGCTGTTCATTTGGAGAGTCATCTTCTTGATTTCAGATTTGTTTTTTTTTTTTTTTGAAAAAATTATGCCTCGTGAGATTGCAATTCTGTTAAATCCTTTCCTTTGTATTGAAATATTGAGCTAGTAGGAAGCCTCAGTTGGAAGTACTGATTTCCAGTGTCAATTATGCTTGGGGAAAGAGGAAATCAAATATCTGAAGGGAGTTGCTGTAAGTTAGCTGGCATTTAGTAGGCTCGTGAACTGATGCAAATGGTCTGTTTCTAACGTTTTTTTTGGATCCCATGTTTAAGCCTCCTTCCAGTGTTGCTTCTGTGTAGTATTGCAATGTAAATATGTATTATTATTCAGGGTTGGAGTCCCAGAAATTACAATTATATTTGGTTTCCACAGTAGTAAACTGATTGACATGTTCATGTGCATTTGATTTTAGGATGAAAATGCAATCTTATGCTTTGGCCTTTGACCATTTAGCTCAGTTTAATTTTATTTTTGGCAGTTGTTGACATTACTTTCTGTCTACATAGGTCTTTTTAGCAAAACGCATGTAATGTATTTTGACTGAGGTCTAAGTGACAACTAGCTTGGTAATATTTGGTGAAAAAGACATCTCTTCACATATTATCCAATTTTTTCTTTTCTTCATTTAAGTCTTGTTTTTCTATCTCCCTTTTTTTATTTAAAAAAAAAAAAAAAAGCAGGAGCAAAATCTGTCTTTTTTCAATACATATATATTATCTGACCAAAAGGTAGAGGAAATATGATTCTTTTTTTTTATTCTGTTGGCACAAATAAGTAAGCAAACTTGTTCTTGATTGTGCTTTTATTATTATTTTTTGTTGTGTGCCTCATGATCAAGAAAATAGAGTTTTTATTATCGATTTTAATCTTCGATCACCTCCTTATATTGGCATTATGTGCTATGAGTTGCAGTCCAATGAATACTAGGGACAAAGCTTGGATTTATAAAGGAGGGATGCAAACTACTATAAAAATTTATTAAGAGAATATTATGAAAAAAAGGAGGGGGCAAAATGGTTAAAGGTGTCTTAAAATTCCTCTAGGCGAAGGTTCAAATCACAGAGTTATAAAGGGATTTTTTTTTTAAAAAAAAAATAGGAGGGGGGGCAATTGCCCCTCTCCTCCACCATGTAGCTTTGTCCCTAATAAATACGAAATCAAATTAGCAAACTACTTGTCTTGCTGTAATTCCGCCATTGAACTTTATGCTTCTCTTATGGTCAACTGGGTTTCTTACTTATCAGTTGCATTTACCAACTATGAATGTTACAATGTTGAAACTACTGAATACTGAATAGACATCATGCTGATATACTTTATTGTTTCTTCCTTACATTTTGCTTCGTTTTTTCTTTATTTTATTATTATTACTATTTTATTTGATGATCATTGGGACTATCCATTCCCAGTGACAGAATGGGATAGCAAGGTGGAAGGAAAAGAAGCAACACAACAATGGGAAGACGAGTGGGACGATGATGATGTTAATGATGACTTCTCTCTGCAGCTCAAGAAGGAACTTGAAAACAACTCACAGAAGGGCTGAAGTTAAAATGTTCGTGTTTATGTGCTGATTAAGCTGCCATCTGACTAGGTAGAAGACGAACTTAGGTTTGATACCAGTGCATCAGTGCCATAAATGTGTATTTCTTATGCTTGTTGGTTGAGATACTGAATGATATTTGAATATGAACATATAGGCAACTTGATATCTTAGCAAATTTTAATATTTCAATCGCATGGATTGTTGTATTTGCAACAAATGCATTAAACATTTAAATTAGTTCTGACCTTAAATTCCTTCCGCACCCTTTATTATTATTCTCTTTTTTCGTTTCCAGAGTCGGTCTTAGTGATGTCGATGGGGTGTGATTTTGTCTGCATTATTTGTTTGTGGGATAGCTTAGCCTTAGCACCCTTTACATTCTTCGAGATTCATCAGCATCTGCTGTTATCTTCTTTTATGTCTTTATCATAAATGCAAACAAATTTATTTTTGAAAAAAGAAATTCATGAAAATTATTTTTGAAGACTTTTGAATCTTTTTTTTTTCAAGAAAATAAAGTCAAATATTGTCGAGTGCTTTAGATATATATAAAAAGGGGAATGAAATTGTTATTAACCACTCTAAACATATCCAAAAAGAAATTGTTATTAATCAATTAGCATCAAATTAGAGTATAACTTATGGCCAAATACTTGTATTCACCCTATATTTCTCAAAAAAAATCTTGTAACACCTTTAATTTTTATTTTGATCTTTTGCACACTGTACAACTTATAAAATTGCACATTGAAACCTTAAATTTGTAACATTAAATTTGTAAGATTCAAGTAAAAATCGTTTAAAAATTGTACTATTCACATGTTAAATCAATCTTTTTGCTTATAAAATCAAAAATTCAAAAATATTTTTATTAGTTAGGTGGATGTGCAATACTACCAAAAATCTTTAATTTTTAGGAACATAATAAACAAAACAATCACTAAATTCAGATACATGGGTTTCCTAAGGTGGATTTATAAACAAACACTAAACTATTACAAAGAAGAATCTTAAAAGCATAAATCATATATGCTGTACCAAGTCATAATCCTATACCATTACCATTGTCTTTTCTAGCACTAGATCGCAAGTTTTCTGACATCCCAAACCTCTTGTTTCTATTTTCTCCATGTCTCATCTATAAGCTTGTCTAACGTGCGCCATGAAGACCCAGTCCCTTCTTCCATAGCTTTCTTTGCCATCTCTGCATATTCCTTCGCCTTCTTCCTCACTTCCTTTCCCTTTTCCCCCTCCATCAACCCTTTCACCTTCTTCTCCAATACTTCTCTCTTCACAAAGCCTTCTACTGACCCATCACATGTATGTACTCTTAACCCTACTTTTATTTCCTCCACCACCATTTTTGCATTAAAAGGTTGCTCTGCCATCATAGGCCATGCAAGGATTGGCACTCCTGCACATATACTCTCCAAAACAGAATTCCATCCGCAATGACTCAAAAACCCTTTAATACTCTTGTGCTGTATTATCTCTCTTTGATTAACCCAATCTCTCACTATAATCCCTCTATCTTTAACCCTCTCTTCAAAATCAAATCCATCACTTAGTTCTATTTCTTTTTTTCTTATAACCCACAAAAAATTTACTTGAGATTTCTCCAACCCAATCGCAATCTCTTTAAGTTGGTCTTCTGAAATCTCAACTTGAGACCCAAATGCAACATATAAAACTGAACTTTCTCGCTCTAATTTTTTATCTAACCATTGATTCCAAGTGGGTTTCTCATGAAATACAGATTCAGCCATTGATGGCTTGGCTAAACACAGGGGTCCAACACACCAAGCCATTGGTCCGCCTTGATCATTGAAGTAATCCACAAAAACTGGTTCAAGCTCATAAATACTATTAACTATATAACCATAACTACTCTTTGATGCTGTTATTGCCTTCACCATAAACTCCAACTGTAGTTCATCCTGTGGAACAGTTGACTTAAACTCACTTCTACTTACCTTAATCCATGGAAATCGAGTTACTGTGATTAATTCCTCATCTGACTCCAGCTTAAGACGAAGCATATCTTCTCGAATAGCTCTTGACAATGAAACAGAGTAATTAGACATACCATAAAAAACCAATCTTGGAAAGCCATATTTAGTTGCAGACTCTAAAGTCCACCATAGAAAACCGTCCGAAACCATGAAGTTCACTTGTTGAAGACTTTCAAGGGCATCCTCAAATTCTGGTTGCATAAGCTTAGTGGCTAAAGCAAATGAAGGAAAGAGAGTCATGGAAGGGAGCTTATCGGTGCTCTCAATGCCGGAAGGGACTTGAGGGATATTTTTAGGGAAGTTTAGGATAACAATTCTTGAACTAGTTCCTGCAAGAGAATCAGCAATGAAAGAGTGGTTTGCCGGAGTGGTAAAGATGGTGATAGCAATGCTGCTGCGGCGGCGGAGAAGGAGGTGAGCTAGGTGAAGGATTGGGATGGTGTGCCCTTTTGACATGAAAGGGAATAAAATGACATGAAATTGTGAATAGCTGGATGTGTAACTATCCATCTTCTTCTTGTCTCAGAGTTTTTGCACTTGTCTAGCCTATTTGGTTAATAATTAGATAAAGATATGTGATTTACTTCGATGTGCACAGAGTTTGTGGGGAGTGGCTGTAAGAAAGATAAAAGATGAGAGTGGAGAGCCTGCAGGCTGATCAAAATGAAGAGTTTGTGGGGACTTCTCCCTAAACTTGATTGCTAAAATATTCTACCATATATTTTCAGAAAATATACGTATTCTAATTATTTTTTTAATTCTTATAAAAAGATTAAATATTGTTATTAAAGTGGAATAAAGAAAATATTTTTTTTTAAAGAAAATAGAGAGAATATCTTTTATTAGTGTATATATATATATATATATAATAAAACATTATTAGAGAGAATATCTAATAAAAAATTCATTATATAATTTTTCAAGTCGAAGAGGAAATTTAACATTATTCTACTTAGAGCCTTATGAATTTTTTGTTTTCTTTAGGGAAAAAAAAAAAACAAAAAAACAAGAACCTGTTGAAGTGTCACAAATTGTGGTATTTGGTTATTGGTGCAAAAGAAACGTATGGTAATCTTCTACATGTTCCAAAAGCATAGTAATTGGAGTATTGATGGAATAGATTCCATTCAAAGGCATTAATTTAGGACAAACATTCAAAGAAAATAATTAAAAAAGGACACTCAATTCGACTTTTTTTTTTTTTTTCCGTTTTGTTTTACTAGGAACCCAAATTGTTCTTCCGCACAATTTTAATAAATATTAATTTTTAACCTTTAATTTTAATATTAATATTTTATTTTTTATCAAAATTCATTTTTAATATTCATATACTTATTTGTAAATAAATAATTTTCAAACTTGTAAAATTCAAATTTATGATATTAGCATTTTTTATTTTAAATGATAAAAACGTCATCATAGAAATAATAGATGACAATCAATAATTACAATAATAATAATATTTTAGTAAGAATTAATTCAAAATAAAAGTTTTAACTTACATGACAATTAATGTAGGGAGATGAAATGCTAAGTGTAGAAATAAATATTAATAAATAATATTATCATAAATTTTTTTTTAATTTTATGTCTCAATTTTTATTAAAATATTATTACTATTTATATAATTATTTTGTAGATAAATAATTTTAAAATTTACAATGTTTGTCTCAAGTTTTTATTTAAAATAATTTTATGTCTCAATTTTTATTAAAATATTATTACTATTTATATAATTATTTTGTAGATAAATAATTTTAAAATTTACAATGTTCAAATTTAATTTGACAAAAGTAGATAATCTTTTGTAAATTGTAATTATAATATTAAACTATTTTAAAAACATACAATAATAAGGTTACAAAATAAAATATTCTATTAGTTAATTCTATTTATGTATATAGTCAAATATAATTTTCTGATCTTGATGACCATCTCATTTAGTGGAAAAATTTTGATTGAGCGAATTATTTATTAAATCATTTACAAGTCAAATAATTATTGTTTCATATATTATTGATTATTATGTCTTTACATTTATGATTTTCCATTGAATTAATTAATTGCAATACATATTAAGCGGAGGCTAATTAAAAAAATATGTCACATGTTATTTCTTAAAAAAACATGCCAGGTGGAAACTTTATAGAAAGATTATGCTATATGTCAATTTCTTGAGAAAAAATCTTGCTATATATATATATACTAAATGGTAGGCATGGCCGGTTCAATGAACCGCCGGTTCGAGATGTTTAAAATTCTGAACCGGAAACGACCCTTGAACCTCCGGTTCCGGCACGGTTCCGCGAACCGACGCGCTTCAAATTTTTACGTTCCGATTTTTTCTCTATTTATCTATATATATATATAATTAATAAATTGACGAAGTTATGATGATAGTAATAATTAATTATATATATTATATATTATATTATATATATATATATATATTATATATATGATAATCTTATACTATTGCTTTGGCAATAATACAGTGTCGGTAGACTTCTATGTTCATTGATTTCTCCATTATCTCTGAACATTTCTATATATATATAATCTATTTGTGTTTACCTATTGAATATTTATTGGAGTTTATTGTTCTTTTATGAATATAACATTCCTCAACTAGAGTTTGATATTGAACTTCATCATTCAATTTTGGTGAAAAATCAATCAATGGATCGTTTGAATCAATTTCTTCCACACTTTGAGCAATTCGCTTTCCCTTAGAGCTTTGTGAATTGTATGCCATAATTTTAAATGGACTTATGGAAAAAAAATGAATAAATGGAAGATGAAATTAATGGAATTTAGAATTGAATGTATGAAAATAAAGCAATATTAAGAAGATGAGAGATATGATATAATTGGTTGTGAAAAAAATAATCATCATATTTATACATATTTTTCATTTATGTAGTTTCCCAAATTGTCCCTTATAACAGAAAAATAACAACTATATTTTTGGATAATTTAGTAAAAATTATTAATAAATAAATAATTGATTAAAAATGAATAAATTTTATTTACCAAAAATAAAAAAATAAAATGTCCCAACCCTCAAACTAGCCGCTTTTAACCTTTTTTACACAATTTTGTTCTTTTTACAAATGAATATATTATACATTGAATAGTCTCATTTGTGTGAAAAAGAAAAAAAATTATTGTAAAAAAAAAAAAAAAAAAAAAAGGTTCAAACGGCTAATTTGGAACTTTTTTTTTTTGACCAATTAAGTCAAAATGATTTAATTTTTTTCACTACTTTTTATAAATTATGTATGATTGTGTTCTTCTTTTCATCATAAATCAAATCAAGTGATATAAATTTTTTTTAAAAAAATTTTAAGTAAAAAATAATTTTATTTGTGGATCCGGTTTGAACCGAACCGAAACCACCGGTTCCGGGCCAGTTCAGGTTCATTTTTTAATATTCACATGAACCTTAACCGGCCCTTGAATCGCCGGTTCCGGTTTAAAAATTTAAACCGTCTGTTTCGGTCCGATTTCGGTTCGTCTACAGTACGGTTTGGTTCCGGTTAGAACCGAACCGGTGGCCATGCCTACTAGATGGTCTCCGGCCTCCCGTGCTTCGCACAAATATATGGTAATTTTATTTTTTATTAGAGTTGTAAGATATATATATGTATAATGAGAAAATGCAAATAGTAATAAATAAAAAAACTAATTAATATGGAGAATTGAAATTGGTTATTCTAATTAATGATTAAGCTAGTAATTCATTCTATGAACTTGAAAAGAAAAAAAAAATCTAATACAACACTTAAGTGTAGCCAATTGAAATAGTAAAAACATATTGTTGTGTAAAACACAAGAAATCAGAAGAGGAGAGGAGGTAATTAGGAAGAATTTATTTATTTTAGATATATATATAAATCAAAAGAAAAAAAATCTATATATATATATATATATATATATATATATTATATAATCTATGAAAGAACTATGAATGAGAAGTGAGAAACTAAATAAATAAATTTTAAAAACAAAATTAGATTAGAGTTAAGAGATATGAATTCGAAGCTACTACTTTATTTATTGAAATATATATTTATATGTATTTCATATAATATTTTTAAAATAGTTATTTTTTCTAAATTATTTGGTTTTTCTTAAGAAATTAAGGGAGCGATACTTAATTTTTTGTTTTGAATTTTCTTTTTTATTTTTTGTATTAAACACTATTATTATTTCTGATATTGTTTAATATCTATTGAAGTTACAGGCGTGTGCTAAGTTTATTTATTTTATTATTTTTTGAATATATAAATATTGGATTTAGCATCAACGATAATTAAATTTTTATATGAGTAGGATATCAATACATTTGGTTGTAGATATAAGGGCACAGTAACAGTAAAAATGAGAGAGACAAATGAAAAATGAATAATAATTTTGACGAAAAGAAATTAAAAGTAGGATTAATAATTAATTTGATGCAAAATAATTAATTTCATTAAAAATTGGACAATATTTGAATAATTTTACTTAATTTCATTAAAAATTGGACAATATTTGAATAATTTTACAATTTTAAGGTGGGGGAATAATATTTAGGCGACATAATTACATTTTATAACCTCCTTAAAAATAATAAAGACAATTTTAATTAAGGGAGTCATATTTTACGATTTTCAACTCATAAAATTTAATGTTAAAAGTAAAATTTTCTAAGTAAAAAAAAAAAATACTAAAATTTTAAAAAGTCTTCACCAGACTCAATCAGAAAAATCTGGTTCATTTGTATGAATCGCATTGTAAACCTCTAGAGAACCACTTCAATTTCGATAAGTTGCCATTGTTGTGACTTGAGCCAAGAAATGACCTTACGAAAACCAATTGCCTCAATCATTCGTGGAGCACGTATTCCATTTATAAAAAACAGAAAGTCCTGCAATTCTTCTCCTGGTGGGAAACATTTTTTAACATGCAAGGGAGATTGAGGGGCAATGAACAAACTTGACTTTGTCATTTTGCAATCTACCAGTAGTAATTATTTTAATTCATTTGAAACTTCACAAGTTATATTTTATATAAATTAAAAGTCTGGCAGAACATTCCATTCTTAACATAAAAAATAGTTTATACATATACACACATTTCATAAGTACTTGCTATATTTTGAAGGTCCACACTACATATATTTATTTTGAAGGAAGAAACACCAATAAAGTTGCATGGCCATAATATGATCTTTAGGAGAACTCTTGCGCTTAAAATCTGACCCACAAATGTAAATACCAAAATTTGCCACAATTCTTTTCGTGGGTTCTCTCACCAATCACTTCAAACAGCTAGCTATTGAATAGCTTGGCACACTTTCTGCATATTGTTTCTGTCTGGTGCAGCAGACAGCCTCAGAGTGAAAGCTTAGGCTTTAAGGAGATCACCTTTTTTTTTTACACAACGTGGATGCAAGATGACTTTGAAAGGTACACACACAAAATAAAGTTTTATATGAACTATTTTTCTAAACAAAAATAAATTGGAAGGCTTATTTTTCATGTTCTTCTATCGATATTATGTTGATTAATCCCTGCAATTCACATTCCTCTACCGGTACAAAACTTCACAGTCTAGAGTTGGAAGAACTTAGAACATGCTAATTGAAAACCAAAATCATTCATTTCATGCAATAATAAATTTCTAAAATCAATAAATAGCTGCTAACAG